GAAAAGCTTTCTTTGTTTCATTATCAAGGTGGATCCTTGAAGCTCACGAGTTTCTGCATGACACACAGGAATTCTTCCTAAGCAAGGGAGTCCATGTAGCTGCCAAAGCTGCGATACCCAGGCCTGACCTGACTTATACAGTGCTTGAGCCTATGGAAGAGGATGCAATGCTTACCAATGCATCTGACATGGGAGAGCTTGCCACATCTGTAGTCACATGTTAGCACTGCAATCCCCAGGAGATGTATTGACTACTCTTTCTGACAGAAAAATCCAGTAACCATTGAGAGGAGCAGCATTCATGAATTCTAGGACCCCATGATGGCAATGTCAGCCATAACTCTGCAGTAGCCTAGTCTTCGAGCACCCAGCAACCTTTGCCATTGCTGACATAAGTGAGAAAAATAAAGCTTGAGGAGTGATAATGAATCCTTAAATTGTCTCATGGTAGGATATGCCATCAAAACGAGGGACCATTTCATCTCAAAGCTGAAAAACGACCTTTCTGGCAAAATTTCTACCCAGAAGGGTATACAAGTCTCAGCTCAAGAGAAACCCCATTTCTGACCATCAATGAAGGAGTCTCTAGGTCAAAGGCTAGGGAACCTACAGTCAAGATATTCCATAAAACCTATGCTGTTATAGCATCAGAGGTCCCACCAGTGAAGCTGTCTCAGGAAGCTCAAAGGACTCCAAAGGTAGAACTCCCTGTGAGATTACCCAAAGTAACCACACACCACCCCATGCTTAAGCATATACCAGTGCTGAAAAGGTACTGTCAAGAGATGGTCAATGATTCGATAGAAGCTTCAGCCCTGTAAAATCGCCTTGTCTCACTATGAAAAGGAGATGTAACACCTGTTGGATAGGTTAGCTGATACTGAAAGATCCCTTGTAAAATCCTAGAACAATTTCAAGACTTGATGGTGGCCAATGGCAAGACAACTACAGCTCTGAACGCTTGCTAGAAGGGTTGAGATGAGCAGAGTATAAACTCAACAATTCCTGGGTAAGTTTTGGTTTGTTTTGAATTTCGCGCAAAGCTATACGAGAGGTATCTGCACTAGCCATCCCTAATTTAGCAGTGAAATACTAGAGGGAAGGCTACTTGGGCTACTCTTTTACCAACAAATAGTAGGATTCGTCACATTATAATGCACCCATGGCTGAAAGGGCGAGCATATTCGGTGGGGCGGGGATTCGAACTCGCGACCCTCAGATTGCCAGTCAAGTTCCCTAACCACCTGGCCATGCCGGGCCCTCCTGGGTAAGTGTATATTTTGTAGACAATTGATATATTATATATTTAATTCAAAGTGCTTTCTGTTTTCTGCAGACATTAGGGTAATTGGAAGACAGCTCCAAAAACATCTATCTCAAGAGAGAGAGAAAGCTGTAGACCCAATCATGATCCAGTAGAAGTGACTGTCTTATTTTCTGTGCAACTACACATGCTGCAATTTTTTGTTTGTTTGTTTAATTGTAATTAAGAATGCGTTTGCTTTATTCAAAATTTGCCCTGTCTCATTATTTCATACACTATAAAATGCATTTAAGTTTTCAACTAAATGTTACTTTACAAATTTCCTAATAATCCTGCTGTTATTATTGGATCTAGCTGATACTTGCGCGGAAATCAGTTTTACCTGAAAATACCACGTACATAAAAATTGTTTGACAAAATTCCAGGATCAGTTTAACTATTGTAAGTGAAAAAATAATCAGATTCTTTTTTTTTTTCTTCTGGAAGTGTTGATTACATGTAATCCAGATGATATTATACAGACAGAAATCTGTAACAACTAGATAGTGAGTTTATTTGCTAACAAAACTTCCAACCAAGTTTTTCAAGATTAAAAAATGAATGAAAAGGAAAAAATAATAAAACATAAAAAATGTATAATATTACCTTACCACCCTCATATTTCAAACACAATAGGGCTGTTTTTGAAAATTAATCATATATGACCAATTTACAGGCTTGAAGCAATTTTTTTCACGTAGATTGATCAAAGAAAAGACTGCTCAGAAAACTTTCCAAAAACAAGGCATCTATGAAAAGATATTTCCTATTCAGTTTCTGCAATATAATACTTTAAATGTTACGGTTCAAACGTGGAAAGTTGGCGAAGTATTAGAAACCAGCGGGTCTAAATGTTATCTTTCATCATCCACTGATGAACTGTGAAATTGAATGATAGTGACTTGTGAGAAACGAAAGATAGATCTGAAATACTGTTTTTGTATGCCTCTGATAGTGAATACAAAATGGAGAAATTTTAGAGGAGAGAGGAAAAAAACATCTGCTGTTTTGTTGAATGATTTTAGGCCTATTGGTTTAAATCATAATCAGTTGTGTTTTATTTTGTTACTGTTTGTTTGAACAAAAATATATTGTTTTACTTATGTTACTTTAATTGTTCTCTTTGTTCTGTGACGGATTTACTATCATATATTTATTGTAATATCGATGTTTGTTTAATGTTTAAGTTAAATCAATATGTTGAAATGTACATAACTTATACTGTTAAATCTGTATTGCGAAATTCCCACCTATTCACTAAAATTGTAGAAAATTCTCGAGTGTAATAATCAACAATATAAGTGTGTAGGTAAACACTGTTGTATCGTTTATATTGTTGCATAAGCTGAAATTTCGAGAAACTCTCCTCGCGCCTATAAATATATCAAACGCGCCACACTAAAAGACAATACATCTTATTGGTTTGCTATAGTTAACGTGCTACAAACCACTTGTTATAACGCTTATTAATCGGGAACTTTAGATATTTGACCAGGAACGTTTATAGATTTCGAATATTACAAACCATTTAACTTCAGTGGATTCACATAGGATATTATTATTTTTTACCGAAACATTATATAAATTCACCAGATTCACATCGGACATTACTATTTTTACGAAAACGTTATATAACTTAAGAGGTGGATTAATCGGCGTGTTGCCGGCAAAGACGGAAGAACACAGAGTTAGCTAGATCCCTGTTAAATGAATTGTGTCTACATCTACTCAAAATTGATTGGCTCATCGTGAACCCTCGATAAGATATCAAGGAAGTTCCAGACAAAGGTAGATGACTAAATATTGTTTGTAAGTTTGTTCAACTTTTGTACATAGATCATTATTTGTAATAACTGTTATTGTAAATTGTGTTATTGTTTGTATATTAAAATATATGTGTATATAAAAAACTGTGTGTATCAATCTTGTTGACAAGTGTCATAAATTGGATACATATCAACATTTATTTAATTTCTAAATCTAAATTATCATTTAACTCAGTTCCAGGCTATTCGAAATTATAATACGTTACGTAATAAATTGCAGGTTCGTCCGAGGTAAATTGTAATAGATAACATAATAGTTCTATTGGAGAAAAAACAATATCAGGCTGAGCTATATTTTTATTGTACTTTAATTGTTAGCTTTAAAAAACAGACTGTGCCCTGTTTCAAATTATTTTAATTGTTATCTCTGAGCAGCAACCGATTGTGTTAATGTTACATTTCTTGAATTGTTAGCTTTACATAAGTTTTTTAATTGCCTCGTATTCTTTGAACAATACGTTTTATTGTATATTTTTCATGTTTGTTATACAACAATAATAGGTAAAAATGTGTTTCATATTACTTCAGTTCTTAAATTTAAACAAAGACTGTTTTATTAATATTACTTTGACTAATGCAATATACGAAGCCCCCCAGTGGCACAGCGGTATGTCTGCGGACTTAAAACGCTAGAAACCGGGTTTCGATACCCGTGGTGGGCAGAGCACATATAGCCCTTGTGTAGCTTTGTGCATAATTAAAAACAAACAATATACGAAAAAGGAAGAAACTTTCCCAAACAGTAAATCACTTTAAAATACGTTTTTCCAAGTTGGTGGAATATGGAAACCAGTGGTTGTTTTGTTTCTTAATAGTGAAAGATTAAATAACTTCAAAAAATTTATTTCGTAAAGTTAAATTCTTCAGAAAATTTATATTCAAACCGATGAAAGTTTAAGTTGTCCTAAACGAAAACATATTAAAATTAAGACCCATTATCTGATAATGTTTTAATTAATTATTAAATTTAGAATAAAAAATTAACATAAATACCCTTGGATTTCTCCTTCTTGCGATACTTTAGTTACTAGTTTTTGGTCACAATTGATTTGGTTTTAATGCTTGGAGACGACTTGAATGGATAATGAAGAAAAACTTTAATATAAGTTTAACAAAACAGCAAATGTACAACGTTTCGACAAGGTTTTATCATCATTCAAATAGTCTCCAAGCATTATTAGTCTCAAAGCGGGTTCCTCGTCATCGAATTTGATTTGGTTTTATTTTATATTAGCAGACACACACAAAACATTTGCAGCCAAATTAGTATCTTTATTGCAACAGCACTTCTTAAAATACAGAATTTCTAGAATAACAAAAGAATTGTAATTGCAGACACCGAAATCTACAAGTCTAGTTGTCTTAGGCCTAACATTTGTTAAGCTTTTATTAAGTACGGCTTATATTCTATAGAGAGATAAATTAACACTGTAACTTGTGTACGTTTTTTGCTTTAGTTTAGTTAGGAGTAACTTTACCTTACTTAATATAATATCAATAAATAAACTAATAATGTTATTCTACGACTTAACATTAAACCTTTTTAGAAACTGCTAAGTATTTAATATGTTGTTGAACAAAATGTCTACTTCAGTATATTTAGATTCGCCTTTTGTTTGCATCCGTTGAAATGAAGTGCACGCGAATTTTCAGGAAAGCCAAAAAGTGAATATTGTTGTAATAGTTAAATTTTTAGTGGGACAATGATAAACTGTGGCTTCTTTTTATATGACGAATTATTACATATGAACTAGTACTTTTCACTTTGTTTCCTGTTACTGTTGATAGTAAATGTAACGCTGTTCTTTCGTACCGCAGGTTTTTTTTTGTTTTAGATTATCTGGTAAAAATATTGCGAGATCCAATCAACGTAACAACAACAACAAATTAATTTATTTCTTCAATAAACGTTCACTACAGTTACATTCCCTTGTAGGCCTGAGCTCATAAACACTTTTCAACATAAATAATGAAAGCCTAACTTCAAATACAATGTTTCAATACGAATTGTGAGACGTACGCCTAACTTGTAAAATTTCTTTGCAGAGCTAATCGATCGATAAACAAATTCACCGAGTAAATGAATAGCAGAATAGACATGATAACTTTCACTGAATAACTTTAATGACACTGAACTGATTCACTCACTAAATACTTCATCGAATTCTCAATAACTGCACAGACTAATTAGTCTTATTAATAAATAATATACCCTCGTCTCTCGGGCCTTAACATTCACGGCATTTTAGGTATTGCTTCATCATAATTAACATCTTCCTCTAGCAAAGAACATATATATTAGCATTGAAAATATTGTTTACGACCTTGAAGAACAATATATGGTTTTTCATTTAATTATGTTCTTTAAACAACTGTAGATTGTCTTCAACGTTATATTAGTTCAGTTGTTAACTTTCAACAACAATATATTGTTGATCTATAGTCTGTGTGATATTACATAACAATAAAATTGATAATAGGTATAATCAGATATCAACTATACATTTTGTGTGTTGTCAACGAGGCTTTTTTGTTCAATATGAGAACTCTTCAGGTCGAATTAAAATTATTATTATGAATAGTATGGTGATGCAATATCACACAAACTACCGACTAACAGAGCTTAAACTTGTACACCGCATCAACTCAGATATTTACCAGAGAGTGTATGAGGTTAAGTTAGAGATAATTCACGAAGTTAAAGAACCGAAAAGCTTTTTTGGAGTATGTAGAAACAAAAGAACGATATAGATATACGTAATCAGTGACGATTAAGTCAGTTTAGTGTCAATCAGTTTGTAAGTTAATCACTTAGTTAACGAGTATTGAGTTTGTCAGCTCAGTGTCAGAAAAGTTATTCAGTGTTAAAAGTGAGAGCTATTGCCTCTATTTCGCTATTCAGTTACTTGGCGAGTTAGTGTGTTTATTGATCTAAGCTAAGTAACTTAGGCACACATGCCACTAATTTTGGAATTACTATTAAAATGTTGTTTTTGAAGTTAGGCCTACATTAATTTTGGAGTTTATGTTGCCAAGTTTATTTGAGAAATTCGACCTTCAAGTGAACATAATTGTAGCAAACGTTTAATGAAGAAATTAGTTAATTCATTATTGTTACGTGGACTAAACTTGGAAGTACTTTTAACAATATTACAATACACTGTATTATACTTCATAAAATTACTAACTGTTAGCTTTTAACAAGAGAAAGTGTTTATATTTTACATAACTTATATTGTTAGTTTGAATGAAAGGCATCTTCAGCAGCGACATATTGGAGACAGAAGATAAAAATGAAATGCTATTTTCAAAGGCCTTTGATTTTAAGTCGAAAATGGATAAATTAAGAGGAATGTAGAGGAAAAAAAGCATCTGCGGTTAACTGGATTTTTATCACAACTTTTACACCTAATTTTTTGTATCAAACAACAATACACTAAAAGTAATGGTTTAAACGCAGGAAGCAGTTAATGCAATAGAAACAAGTAGGCCTACAATTTGTGATAAAAAAAGCACGTAAACCACAAATGTTTTTTTTTCTCACGTTCCTATTAATTAAGTTTTTTAAACACTATTTTTCCAAGCCCACGATTTTCAAACCGGCTTGGATAAATTAAGAGAGAGGTAGAAAAAAAAAACATCTGCAATTTACGTGACTTTTATCACAAAATCTAAGATATTAGAAACAACTAGCATAAAATACCCATGCTCCACTGCGGGGTTCAAAGGACCCCCTCATGATTTACGGAGGCCTCAATTTACCGATAAGTCTTTTTCATTAGCCACGTTTTTTATATAGAAACCCAAAAGATGGGAGGTCTGTACCCGAAAATAAACCCCCTTTGGACACCAATCGTAGTACCTGAGCTTTTGAGTAGCGGTATGATCAAAGTTTTAAACATGTCGCTCCTTGGAGCCAGAGGTACAAGGAGCACAAAATTCGACGCTACATTCGTATTCATCGGAAAAAAAAACAACTCTTGGACTCCGTCATACCTGGGTGACATTCTGGGCGCATTCTAACCTTCCTTGGTAAGGAGACTACGCCATATAGATAAGGTCAGGACAACCATGGGCCACCCCGAGTTCGCCAACCAAGGTTGGTCCTGGTCGCCCTGCTAGCTCCAAAAACGTATGAGTTCGCAGACAAACAATAAATTTAGAAAGTACAACATGAATTAATGTAGGACACGTCACTCGGTGACTCAGCGGTAAGCACGAGGGCTTAAAAAGTTAAAAAATTGAATTTTGGTATTCACGGTGGGCACAGAACAGATAACCCAATATCAAACAAATATTAAAGGGTACACCGAGTTGTATTTTTTGATATTGCTTTAACTTATTTCTTAGCTATGAACACCAATAGGCTGTGTTTGTTAACGATAAGTTTAGAATTAGCTCTTCAAAATATGCATTTTCAAACTGATCCTACCTTGTGACCCATTCATTTAACGTACAAGTCAATGTTTATCAAAGTTTTTAGGTTGTGTCTCGCTTTTCTTTTCTGTAATACACTCCCCCGCCTTCCCCCCAATGATGAGAACAATAAACTTGACGTCGTGAAGTTCCACTATTTCATAACAATATCAATTTCATAGTAGGAACACTCACTTCAAGACCAAAAAAATAAATAAAACTGATAATTTTCCAACCCCAAAATTACTTTGGGGAAAATAAATATCTGAATGTTAATAGGCACTTGTCTTGTAAAGCGCTGTAGAACTAAATTTAGTAGTTAACAAAGCAAATAAGTAGTTTTCAAGGCACTTAAAGTAGTTTTTGCCACTAAAGCTAATTCATAAAAGTTTAACGTAAATAATATTTTCTACAGGGCAATTTTCTTGTGTTAATTTAAAACAGACTTTTGTTCGAAATGTTTACTTCTGCTACATGAATATGAAAAAGGATATTGTTCAGAATGTTTATTTCTGTTGAGTTAATTTGAAAAATTATTTTGTTCAGAATGTTTTCTTCTGTTAACATGAAACAGGATTTGTTCAGAATATTCACTTCTGCTGTATGAACAAGAAAAGGAATTCGTTCAGAATGTTTACTTCTGCTGTATCAACTTGAAACAAGATTTTGTCCAGTTTTTATTTCTGCTGAATGAACTTAAAATAGAGGTATTATATAGAATGTTTCTTCCATTGGTGAGAACTTAAAACGGGGATTTTGTTAAGTTGGGATATGCCCTTCGTATTAATATCAGGAGTTAATGAGTTAATTAAATAAATTAACACATTATCTTAACGTCTGTAAGTGTTTAACAAAGCTAGAGAAAGCTACATTACACCTATTGAAAACAACATTACCACATACTTTGTATGTAATGTCCTTTACTGGCGTTGTTGAGGAGAAGAGAAATTCACAATTAAACAATATATTAAATAATTCGATAAAGTTAATCTGGCGTTAACTGTCAAAAAAACAGATGCACGATGTGAAGCCTCACAAACAAACTGTTATTCCAAAATATCTTTTCTCTAAATTCATTTCCCTTTTAAAAGTTTATAAAATTTGCTGCTTTATCAATTATGTGGCATATGAACACTAATCAACTGTTGTTGTGTTTTCTCAGTGCAAAGCGACACAATGGGCTTTCTGCACTCTGTCCACGAGGACAATCGAACCCTGGATTTTGGCGCTGTAGGTGCTAAACTTTCCGCTGACCCACAGAGGGACCACGTAACAATATATCATTAATTAGATATATGTTTGGATTAGATGATACTCAGCAATTTCTGAAGTACGAAGCAGACTAAAAAAGAACTAATACGAATAGTTTCAATATCGATAGCGAACAGTACTTGTACAGCATAATTCATTTTGTCCAAGACGACTTTCTTATTACTATCTACCGCTACTAGAACTCAAACTATTGCTCTTTTAAAAGTTTAAGCGTAGTTCTGTGAGTCTATTGAAGAAACGAAATTTTAGTTGCAATTTTCGTAAGTAATCCAAATTGTAAATATTTTTCTTTTTAGTTGATGTGTCTAAAAATTTATTTTAGTTTAAGTTTCTTTCGGATATTCGCAAAAAGCTATACTAGGGCTATCTGCGCTACTCATTCCTAAGTTTGAATTGATAGACTAGAGAGAAATCAGTTAGTCGTCAGCACCAACCATCAATACTAGGGCTACTATAATTGAATAGTGGAATTTGATATTGACGCTTGTAACGCATTCACGGCCCCAAAGTGTGGAGAGCGGCGTTTTTTTTTGCAACGGGACTTAAACCATTGATCCTTGGATTCATAATCCAGCATGCTAACTGCTAAGGAAAACCAGGTCCCTAAAAATAAATAATCTATGTTTTTGAATTTCTCAAATTATTTATCTATTTAATGACACTAAGAGAGTCAGGTTTTAAATATACATATCAAACATGCCATGATAATTTCACACAAACTTAACACATATATAGTCAGTTGAAGTTTTTCCCGACATATTAGCCTTGACCCTGCTGTTTACCTCTGATGAAGATCCACCTTTTAAAAGCGCTATGGTCAGAGGGTTTCTTATTTTTTGTCTTTAATTTTTTTAAATTTATTTGTTTTCCGAACATCGTGAATGAGACAACTGGATAATATATATTAGGGAGATTGAAGACGTTTTGATGTAGTGACTAAAGCCATGTCATTAAAACACCTTCATAAGAATCATGTACGAATCAGCAGTGTGAACCTGTTTTAACGAACAACATGTATGGTAGATTTATCAGATAGTGTACGAACTTCTAGAAGCTAAATTTAATTTTTATAGTACCTAAGTACTGCCAGTGCTGCACCAGCAGCTGCATCATTTCCTGAACCATAGACTACAGGCAGATCGAACTGTTTTTCTACTTCTTTTTGTAAAACGACGTTCTTAGTCAGAGCCGTGCCACTTCCCACAATCCTTTGAATGCCCGCTTCGTGTAACTTGTCTGGTGGCATCATAGAATGGATATTGGCCACAAGTCCTTTGCACAAAGCACGAGAAACCTTCCCTATTGTAAGACATAAGGGATCAATATGGATCACAGAAGCCCGTTGGTCCGGTAGATGGCGCTCTCCGTAGATGGTTGGTATAATGGTAAGATTAGATTCGGAGGCCTCTTCTTGAGCAGTCATTAGAATTCTCTCCCAGATTTTATTCTCCGGCACCCCCAGACCTATTTTTTTTAAAAGAAAAGCCGGTGAGAAGAAACACTTTAAATACAAAGTAGATGGTTAATAAACTGTTTGCCACTGTAAATGCAAACAGTATTGTTGCATTAACAAAATTCTTTAAACTTCTTACATACTTATAAATACCTAATTCATGAGTCCATTGTTGAAGCATGCGGACAAAAGCAGCAAAAACGTTTCCACCATTCAATGATGCTGCCACAGCCAAGTAACGACCATTAAAATATGGAAAATATTCGACAGATGACATTGGTTCGTTGATCGATGGCGTAAAACCTTGCGGCATAATAAAAGATAACTGGGCTGATGTGCTAATGTTCAAAACTGAGAAGTAAGAATACAAAAATTATACATGGAAGAAAAAAAAAAGACTTCTAAATTACAACTATTTTTTTCCTAAGTACAAGGATAACACTTTTTAGGACTGCTACACATAGATAATCTCATTTCAATGAAAATAAAAATAAACATATATATATTTCTTCAAATGTACTAACAATATAATCTGAAATTCACCCATACATATAGTCACAGCACGGTTTAATAAAATATTATTGTAGAGTCCTTTGTTAGTACCTCTGAATTCTTATTTATTATATTGAAATTATGGATATTTCTAATATTAATGAATATATCTTTGATACGTTTACTTATCTTTAGTTAACGTAGTACCTGCTAAATTAATGATATTGAAAACAGTGAAAAGTAAACAATGTAAAAGACATATAAGACTGCTCGACTATCCTTTCCCAAGTGCCACAAAGTGAATGAAAGAGGCCTAATAACAGCTAAGCTCACTTTTTGTACTCGTTAAAGAGTCATATTCTAACTATAATATGTATATATATATATACATATATTTGGGAGTATTATATTTCCTTACCAGCATCATGTTCTTCCATCATAGTGGACACCACAGAACACTGCATGTCTCCCACGGCTGCAAACACTGGAGTTCCCTGCGGAATTCCATACCAGTTACTGCAGGTATTGCCGGCTAGGGTACCTGGAAGCACTACTTCCGGTAGGAAATGAAAAGGTAGTCCTGCTTCTTTTAATCTGTGGACAACACAATTACGAAGCATGGTTACTGCTTTTAGGCTTAAAAAGTCGCATCACTTCTTACTGCACTAGGTATTTATTTGGTTTGACAAATTTTAAAGTAAACTGTTTTGTGCCATTATAGAAATATAATAACAATAATGCCTAAGAATAAATTTTTAAAAATGGTGTTCGAAAATACCAATCTGATAAGAAGGATAAATTACAACTTATGTCAAACTTGTATTTTTAATATTGTATTATTTAGTTGATTCGATGTTGTTGTACTGATCCTCCCTCAACAATATGTTTATACACTCACTTGAATATACAGCCTTTTAAGTAACGTGGAAAGTTCCTGTAATTGTGTTATAAATTATTATGTTGGTTGGTTGGTTTCTTGGTTTGTATAAGCGCGAAGCTACACAATAGGCTATCTGCGCTCTGTCCACTACACAGAATCGAACCATGGATTTTAGAGGTATAATTCCGTAAATATATTGCTGACCCACTAAGGTCCTGTTAATCGGAAAATTACTATTTTGTGAGATGTATTTGACTTATATCCACAACCTCGAAATATTTCACTGGTCATCATAATTTCTCTCTTATTACTATATGACAGCACAGACACAAATGTAGAAAATTTTAACTCATCAGCGTTGAAATAACTATTTTGTAAATAAACCGTCTTTCTGTTTCTTCATTATGAGAAAAATATGATTTTTTTTATAATAAACACAGAGAGAGATGCGATACATTGAAGAACAATTTGTGACAACGTTTTGTTTCATCACTAGAAACTTGTATCACTAAGCCTCTGAACTACATTAAAAAGTGATTTTCACTTCAAATCAAACATGATAGTTTTAATATATGTAAAAAAAATTGAAACAAAATTATTAACACAAAAGAGTAGCCCAAGAGTTGGCGGTGGGTGGTGATGACTAGCTGCCTTCTCTCTAGTCTTACACTGCTAAATTAGGGACGGCTAGCGCAGATAGCCCTCGCGTAGCTTTGCGCGAAATTCATAATAAACAAACAAACCCTCTTAGTAGAAGGAGGGCAACACCAAATAAATATGGATACTTCTCAGGTCACTACGTCTGCCAAGTTTGATCCTGCTAACTCTAAAGCTGGAATAGAAGTTAGACGCATGTAAAGCGACACGATGTATTGATATACGATTGGTTAAATGAGAAAAGATTAACACGAGTCATTTTTTTTTGTTGAACTTGGATTTCTAAATTCATATATAGTCACTTTTAAGTCTGTAACATTTAAAACGAACAGGTCTTGTTTCTACTCAAGTCGAAAATTGTTCATTTAATGTACTGAGAGGAAAACTTACTGTAAACGTACTTCAGCGTAGTGGGAGCATCATAAAGAGAAGAAAAAGAAAGCCCCCCCCCAAAAAAAACAACAACAAAAAACCCGGCCTGGACGTCTTTTTTTTAAGTATAGTTAATTGATTAAAAATATCATTAATATCAAGTATATCTACTGGGCCAAGTATCAATAATCGGTGTGTGGGATCTAATGATAAAAATGATTAATTTAATGATTAAGAGTCGTTCTGACTTTTAAATTGTAAAGTGAGACATAAACCGAATACTCAATTGCAAAGCAGAACTGGGAGAACATGAGAATAAAATTGAGGATAAACAGACTTACATGAAGTACCGCTAGTTCTTTTTCTGTCTGTTCTATTCGTTTGTGGACTTCTCGTATCTGAAAAAAAATCACACACTAAGTGGGAAGAACGTTCAATAAAAACATTTACATGATATACACGTGTGTGTGAAAATTTTACTTTAACAAGAGATACAAAATTTTGCAGTTAAGTTCCAGTAACCATCCAGGTGCTGTTTGCATAAAATGTGTACGATTTCCTTTTTCGTAACATTTATTTTTCGAAGTCACAAAATGACATTGACTTACAGACTTATGTGTTTTAGTTCTCTATGTCACAGGTCAAATGTATTTTCAGTTCTATAAACTAGTTGGCCAGTTAAAATGCCATACGTTATAAACATCATCATCAGTAATGATATTAAATATAGTCCATACCTTACGTTCGAGTTCTTGTGTTCCCTTGACAACAGACGTCTTCTCTTTCTGTAATTCATCTTTTTGTTTTCTGAGTAACGCTTCTTCAGTACGAAGAGTTTCTACGTTTTCCGGATTGCTCATCAATTCTCCCTCTGAATGTATTAACGTTTTCAAGTTTCAGTTTATTTTATATGTGATATAGAAGTTATACAATGTAAACTTTGTTACTGAAATAACCGCACGCCATCTCTGGGAATAATCCCTCTTACAACTTTATATTTTTATAACGGAATATTTAGCATAATACCCAACGTATTAGAAATTTATATTTTGTGACTTTAATCTTCCTGGAGGTTAGAGAATTTGGTTGTCGAATGTCGATAGGATTATTAATACGCTTACTATACAGATAAGAACTAACAAGTTACTTATAAATTAATGACCATATATTTACGTAACAAACTGACAAGAGACCTTAAGCCTATAATAATTAGAATACATTGAATTATCAGTTGGATATCCCTGTTGTTAATGGTATGTTTGGTTGTAATCTCGATAATATGTCTCGAAGTTGGGCCAGTTTAGGAGACTTATACACGTCCTAAATCAATATGCAAAATTAATAATGCAAATTAATATCTACAAGTATAAGATTAATAATAATAATATTCAAAAGTTTTTCTAAACGTTATTACTACTGCTACTAATAATATTACTAATAATAAAAAAACCCGAACAACTTATATATCAAAACAAAACATTTATTAAATGAAATAGTCTCCATTCTTATCGATGATGATTTTCCATCTTATAATCAGGTTGTTAATGTCCTGATTAAAGAAACCACTTGGCTTTAAGCAAAAACATGTCGATGTCCTCTTTAACACCTTTGATATTTGCATATTTCCCCATTAAGATGATGTTACAGCGAACGAGAAAGATGGTAATCTGATGGTGCCATATTTGGAGAATATGGTGGGTGTGGGAGAACTTCCCAACCCAACTCCATAATCTTATGTTGCGTCAAACGTGCCACATATGGACGTGCATTGTCGTGGAAAAGAAGAGCACCTTTCCGATTGACGAGTGAAACGCA